ATTGTCTTCCTCTATGGCCTGGTAAGGTTGTCCCCCTCCCCTCAGGGGGAGGTGATCAAAGAGCCAGCCACTGAATTCATGTCAGAGACAGTCCCTGTTGCCCTTACTAGGGAACCCACTTGGACACTGAGCTGTCATGGGCTATATCTGCAGAGGTTCTAGGATATATCCATGAATGGTCCTTGGTTGGAGTACAGGCTCAAAAAGACCCCTGGGCCCAGATTTTTTGGTTCTGTTGCTCTTCTTGTGTAGCTCCAGTCCCCTCCAGGTCTTTCTATCTCCCCCTTCTTTCATAAGATTCCCTACACTCTGCCCAAAGAGTGGCTGTGGGTCTCAGCATCTGCTTTCATACCCTGCTGGGTAGAGTCTTTCAGAGGCCCTCTGTGGTATTTTTTTTTTTTTTTTTACAGCTAAATAATACTATGTTTTGTATGTGTGCTACATTTTCATTATCCATTCATTGGTTAATGGACATTCTGGGTGTTTCTATTTCCTTGCTGTTTTCAATAGAGTAGCAATAAATGTGAATGTACAAATATTTCTATGATAGGAACCAAGTTACAAGTATTTATATTTTTTTTCTAATGAAATATAAGAAAAATGTTATCTTATTTAATTTCATGGATCACTAGTAACCATATTTTTTTGCCCCCCCCCCCCCCCCACCTTGGGTTTCTCTGTGTAGCCTTGGTTGTCCTGGGCTCACTTTGTAGATCAGGCTGGCCTCAAACTCACTGAGATCTGCCTGTCTCTGCCTTTCCTGGGATTATAGGTGTGTGCCTCTGTGCCCGGCTTAGTGATCATATTTTACAAAAGTTTTTCATTGATAATTTTGAAGAATCTAAACTCAGTTTAGATTTATATTAATAATAGAATAATCATGACTTCAAATACATAAGGAATTTTGCTGTATGTATGTTTTAGTTAACTAAATAATTTTCTTTCTATATGTACACGCACACACATATCTAAAAGCAAAGTTGCTTGTCAGTTTTCTATTCTTTTGGAAATAAATGGGTATTTCCAAGGCATCTTCATTAGTAGGGTGGCACTAACTTGCCAAAGTTGTGCTGTGGTGGTACATGCTTTTAATCCCAGCCCTCAGGGAGGCAGAGGCAGGCAGATCTCTGAGTTCAAGGCCAGCCTGGTCTACAAAGTGAGTTCCAGGACTGCCAGGGCTACACGGAGAAACCCTGTCTCCAAAAACCAAAAGCAAAATAAAACAAAACAACAAAAAAGGTGTAACTAGGGTTGTTTGGTTTTGTGGTACTTCATTGACCACTTGTCTTATGAAGAAATGGATTTCAGATCACTTAAGTAGCATTAGTAATGTATTACAGACTGTTGTTTACTATGGTCTTGAATTTGTTCACTGTTTCAGATTCTGAATTTGACAGCATTTCCTGTGAGTGCACTTGGCTACAGTTCTTTATCACCTGCTTCTTTGTAAATTATGGTGGGGATCTGTAGTTATGGGAATCCACTCCCTCTTTGCTTGACGTCTAAATAGTACTCATATAATTAATACACATTTGAAGCTTTTGTTTGGTTGGATGGAAATGTAAAGCATCTATTTTAGGACACATGCACTGTCAAGAGATACAGCAGCAAAAGACTTTTCTGTAAATCCTCAAGTTATGAATCTACTACAGCATAATATGTACCAGGAAGAGCATGTGAAATAGATAATATTAAAGACCATTTGAGAGGAGGCTAGCCAGTTGGCTAGATTCACTGTTACTAAATGACTCTCATTTTTAATTTTTAAAAGTTAGAATTACGAATAATGAGTTTCATTATGATTTTTCCCATATCATGATTTGCTTTTACAGCCTTGTAAAATTTAAAATTCAACTTTGAATTTGATCAAGATTACAGATTTCTTCCATGTAATAGAAGTTTGGGTTGTATGTAAAAAGCAAAGTCTGTAAACTTTATTTTTGCAGTGCTGGGAACTAGACCCAGTACACTGTATGTGTTCCAACACTGAGCAGGGTTCTTTGAACTTATTTAGGTGGTGGTATATTTCCTGTAGCCCAGGAAGGTCTTGAATGTGGAATTTTCCTGATTTGGTGAGCAGTAGCTGGGATTATACATCTGGGCTAGCAAGAAGGGCTAAGCCTTCTGATTTTAAGTAGTTAAGCATCCAATAAAATGTCTGACAAGTAAAAGGAAGCCTATATTCAAACTGGTAGAAACCTTAGAGAAAACATATCCCTAGCTTCCTCAAGTTACAGGTGAGGTGTCCCGGTAAAGACGTGTGGTCATGATCGTTTGGCTGCTAACTGGTATGGTTTGTGTCTGTCCTGCTTTGAAGAATTCTTTGATAGCGTTATCTCTTAGTCCTGAGGTTTTTGCCAATGAGTCTTAGGAGTTATCTATTTTAGAGTCCAGAGAAGGCTCTTAACAAAGCCAGACTGTCCATATTTGTGTCACTTTTAACAGTTGTCTTAAAATGTGAGTCATATGCCTTAGTTGTTTTTCCCCCTCTTTGTGCCAAGATGAAGGTGCTGTGTTTTTTCCCATTCCAACTTGGCTGTAGCTCTCTCCCTAGGGCGTATATTCTAGTGGTTCCTTGTAAGCCAGCATTGTTCACCTTGTACCTTTATACTTCAGTAAATTCTAAGTCTATAGCTTGGGTTTCAAATTTCTACACCTGTATGATTTTCTGCCTGGATTTTGTCTCTGCTCCTTCTGCCACTTCCTCCAGGAAGATGCCTTTATGAATACCTTGGTGAAGTACCCATTATCCCTTCCCCTAACTGATTGAATGCTTCATGATACTACTAAAGCCCATATCACAGTGAAGTACTCATGCTGTGAACTTACCTTCGGTATTAGACTGTGAGAACAGTGCTTATTGCCAGCTGTTGACTTATGTGCATACGACAAGAGAGTCTGTGAAGTGGAATGTAGTTGATTCCTTCCTAAGGACATGTAGGTATCCTCAGTAGAGGCACCCTTATAAGGGAGCTCTAAATGCCATGCTCCAAGAATAATAGAAACAACTGAATGGGAAGCCTGGGTGGGTCATGACTTAGGTCATGTACTCTGTTTTGCCTTTTGTTGGGCATAGCCCATCATGCCAAGCCATACCTTACTTTATCCATAGATCACTCATTAGGATGAATAGACATCAGAATCAGACTCATGTTATTAACTAGGACACAATTAGAGGTGAGTGAAGCTGGTATTAGTTCTTCAAAGGGAGAGTGGTTGGATGGGAAAATAATTGGTTTATTGATATTTCATAGTCTGTTGTAGTAGAAGTTGGAAATCTCATTCCTACCATCCCTTCTAGGTCCTAGTGGACTCTGTTATTTTAGGTACTGAAGGAGATTAAGCTGAAAAAGACCTAGTGATCCTTCTTCATTAAGTTCAAGTGAATTTCTATAATTCAGAATACTTTTAAAACAAAGGTTTAAAACTTGTTATATATCTTTATAGTGTAATTTTTTTTTAAAAGTATGTGCTTAATTTCAAAAGTAATATGGTCTTATAAAGATGCACAATGTAGCAGACGGGGTATAGATACCAACACCAGAATCCCTAGAGCCAGTTCTCAGCTTTGCTTTTTACTATTGTTTAACTTTGAGCACACTACTTATCATTTTGCGCCACAGAATGCTCATGTGTAAAATAGGGGTAATAAAAATACCTACATCATGAGATTAAAAAGACTGTTAAAGTCTACTTAAATACATGAAACAGTATTATAAAAGCTTAGAAAAATACTTTAGATCATAATTATTGAACATAGCTTTTATCTCAGCTAGTCATTTTGAAAATTTTTATTTGTGAAGCAGAGTATCACTACATGGCTCAGGCTGGCTTCACATTCACTCTGTAGCTTTAAACTCTCGATCCTTGTCTCCCAAGTGCTAGATAAAAGGCAGGCACAGCTATCACTGGATCACAGTTTAAAATGTCCAGGGCTAGGCATGTTGCCCATGGCAGAGCATGTACTTGGTACACATAGAGCCTGTGTTCAAAAAGGAAAGGAAGGAAGGAGACTGGAGAAGTGGGGTTTCCAGTGCGCACTGTGTGGTCACAGCAGAGCAGCGTGCTCATCTGCCACGCTGCCCTTGTGCTGTCCTTTAGGACCCAGAGCGTCTGCCCTCTCTAGCTGCTGCGTGTTTCCCCTCCTATGGGTTTGCTTTGTCCAGAATGTCTCCATCATTCCCTCTGTCCTTCTCCCTAAAGGTTCAAATCTAGAAGTTCTTATTAAATATTTACTCTTTTTCTACTTTGTAGGATTTTGTGTATATACCATCAGATATTGGTAGAAATGTAAAAACATATACATGGAACCAAGTTAAACTTTAGGTTATAAAATCAGATGTTGGAATTTTCATTTTCAACTATGTCTCTCAGCATTTGTTTTAAAATCTCCCTGTTATGTTTTGGTTTCAAGTATTCCTAAAGTAATACTTTGGTAGATGGCTGGATAAAGCCAATGAAGGCTCAGCTGACATACACACTTAGCGAGTTCATAAAGAGCCAGTCTAAGACAGGTGCCAAGAGCTGAACTTTTAGAGTCTGATGTAAAGAATGAACACTTCGGATTCTTTTCTTTGAATTTTACTGTATTCTGTGAAACTGCTGCTTTTAGGTGTGCTCACCCTTAGGAAGCGGTCTTCAGATCCTCACACTTATTTCTGCTTTTAGATAGAAACAACCTCTGTGAATAGTAACCTCGGAAAGAGAAAAAAACCTTTTAATGCTAAGTACCAATTAATTTTCTTTTAGAAAAGACTTTTTACACCAGACAAGATATATTTCTGGCGAATGGGCATTTATGTACTCTTTTGAGAGTATCAATTTACAGAGTGGAACCTTGTTAGGTGGCAGAACAGAGAATTTAGGCTTAGAGCCAGGGAATCTGCTCAGGACTTCATCAGTCTTTAAAGATCATTGTATGCATAATGGTGATGGAATTGGAGCAGCAAATTCATAGTATAAAATATTTTTATGAAATATGTTTTTGTTTTCTCTTTCAGAATCATGGTGTCATGGAGGGGGATTTACTTTATACTCTTCCTGTTTGCGGGAAGCTTTTTGGGAAGTATATTTATGCTGGGTCCCATTTTACCTTTGATGATTATAAACCTGTCATGGTATCGTTGGATCAGCAGCCGCCTTGTGGCTATGTGGCTCACGCTTCCTGTGGTAAGTTACACACTAGAGAAGTCTGTCTGCTTGTATTGAGATAGCACATCTCATACTTTGTTAGCATCAGAGATCTGGTTTTCAGAAGAAATACTAGACATAAAAAAGAAAGGGGAGAATAGAAAAAATAGAAACACAAATATTCATGTCCTTAAAGCAAACCCTTATAAAGAATCTTACAGAAAATCAAGAGCTTCTTTTTATACTCTTCATGAATTTTCTTTTATATTTCATATAATGAAGGGTATCATTTATATGTAGAAAAATATGTAAATTTTAAATATCGAAGAATTTTTACATATTAAATTTTATTCCGCACTTCAATTTTTGTTTTACAAGGCAGTGATACCTATAAAGATTCTGTAGGGTAGGGGAAAGAATATTAACATACTGTATGAAAAAAATTTTAGTAAAAATGTAACCTGCCCCATGAAGATTCTAATAGTAAACATTTTTCTAAACTTATGACAGAGATGTGATTGATTCAGTTCTTTCCAGTAATTACAAAAATTAAGAACATACAAAAGAGATCAAGATATGTGATTTCTATGTGAAGAAGAGGTAAACAGCATGTGTAAGCTCAAAGTGCACACACAGTGGTCAGTAGAGCCCTGGGGCATATGGCAGTCTATACTTGCTCTGAGTGCATCTCCTGATCTTGAGCTGGTTCCCAGTCCTGGCTCCTCCCTCCTAGAAGGAGGCTGCTGCCAACTAGTGGGCACTGAATGGTTGTCGTTTTCTTGGCTAGTCTGCTAGGGATTGCTCCAGTCCTTTCTCCTCAGCAACAGCTATCCCTTCTTTCTCCTCAGGCTGCTGGGCTTAGCAGTCTTTTTGGTAGAGGCAATAAGTTTAATATCTGAAAAAGAAAACAAGAAGGGAAACACTCCTTTGTAATTAGTAAAGGATCCTTTCCATCCTGTTTCATTGACATTGAGCTGCTTATTTCCCCTGAGACAGCAGGCGGAGCACCTACCCCCAGGATGAGTGTCATGCAGTTGCTGGGGTTCAGGTTCAGATTGACTCAGTAGTTACTGAAATGGTGCTTGGGGTGGGTTTTCTACATGAATTGAATAGACATTTCTTAAAAGTTACCTAATAGCAGCCACGTGGTGGTGGTTCTCACATTTAATGTCAATACTCATAGAGACAGGTGGATCTTTGAGTTCAAGGCCAGCCTGGTCTACAGAGTGAGTTCCAGGACTATACAGGATGGGTAGGAGGGGAGTTTGTTGACACATATGCTAAATGCTTAAGGAGGATGGCTTTGTTTCAGGCACCACCATTATCAGCAGTTTACAGAGAAGGAAATAGAGACTTTTAGGCGTGCAGTAATTTGCCCAGTCACTTGCTATATTAGTTGATTTCTTATTCTATGATAAAATACTCTGAAAAAGGTTCTGACATCTTCAACATCCTCGGTCTCCATAGAAACTTAGGTTCACCTTCACAGCTTCACAGCCTCACGCTGTGTCCACTCAGCAACTCCTTTCAGGGAGTCTGTCCCTGCCATATATTATGTGACTCAGCTGCTCCCCGAAGTGGGCTCCAGGACCTCCTCAGTCTTGCATCTTTCATGCCTGAAAAGCCACTAATATGTGAACAATGCTGTCACATTCTTCACCAGCTTGAGATGTAACCTGGTCCTCATACAGCGCAGCTCTCAGGTTCCATGTGCTGACACTGGGGACCATTTTCCCAGACAGTTGCTTTCAAGACATGGGGAACAGCTCCAGCTACGTTTCCCATTCAGGCAGTCTCTTTTCATGTAAAATTTTCTTTTCATAAGAAGTCTTTTTTTTTTTTTTTTTCCTCCAGGCACATATCCTCTTGTCACAGTACAGAGTCAGGTGGTTCTTCTGGCTGTAAGGTTTAACTCGTTTGAGCTCCTTCCATTCTCAGCAAACTGCATATTAAAAAAAAAAAAAAACAGCCCCCAGCCCCTGACAGGGCTTCTTTCTCTGTGTTGCCCTGGCTGTCCAGCAACTAGCCTTGTACACTAGGCTGGTCTTAAACTCACAGAGATTCCCCTGCCTCTGTCTCCCCAGTTGTGGAGTTAAAGGCATAGGCTACCATTGTCTGATTGTTTTTCTCTTTTTAACTGTAAACCTTGGTAAATATAATTAAAAAGTAGCCATACCACAGAGTAAATGCTCTCTTGTACTCTGGCAAACAAATTAGTTTATTATCTTTAAACTCAGCTTCACCAAAGTTCTCAGGATATAAGTAGTATGAAGCCAGATTCTTGAAATGTAACAGGACAGATGAGGATAGCCACCTTGTGGAGGTGACAGTCCTTTACCTAATTGTAAGCTTAAAACCTTGTCAATTCTACTCTCATTTATACAAAAACCTTTTTTTAAAAAAATGGGACAGAAGTCGACTGTTACTTTGTTATATCACAAAAACAGAAATCCATTTACTTCTGTCTCACAAGTATTGAGATTAAAGTCATGTGCTACCATGAACAGCCCATAAAGCTTTTAATTTTTAAACAAACAAACAAACAAAAAAACGTCGAAAAGTTAATAAACATAAACCCATGTTAATGAAGAGTTACATGTACGTGTCAGTGTGTGTGTGGGGATGCATGCACGGAAGTGCATGTCTTGTATTTTCCTTTATCACTGTTCATTTATTGCTTTGAGGTAGGGTTTTATTCTTTGAAGCTGGGGGGCACATTTTCTCAGACTAGAAGCCAGTAAGCCTCAGGAAGCCTCCAGTCTCCGTGGTGCTTGGAGTAATGGTACCTGCTAAGCATGGCAAGAACCAGCATTGTCAGCCCTAGTGGCAGCTCTACCTCACCATCTAACTCCAGTGTCCTCTTCTTGGGAAGAAGTAGTCATGAATACAACCAGTTAAATAGTTTCTTATTTACTGTGTTTATTTTCCTCTAAAGTATCCTGTTCTTATAGAAAGCCTTGTATGTGGATATTTAAATATATGATATATATATATATATTTTTTTTTTTTTTGCTTCTCTTTTAACTCTGTGTTTCATGCTACCATAGATAGTCATAGTTCATTTACTTTCAATGTTGAATTACTTAAAGCTGTTTGAGAGGTTTGATTTTCTTAGCTTTTAACCTCCTTTGCTCAACCCTTTCTCCATTAGATAGGAAGTGAAGCAGGATTTACATATAAATAGTTTGAAATTACAACTGAAGCTGGGAATAGTTATACGTACTGTTTTTTGGTTGGCTGTGGTAGAGGGAGCTTGAGCCAGGTTCTGGGCAATATAAGGAAGGAAAGTGAAAAGGGTGCGTAGGGGCAGAGGGGAGCATGCTTGCTCACTTTTGAAGAACTCTACTTTGTAATACACACTTTACTAAATTATATTCTAAATTATATTCTAAATTATATTCACAGGTATAGAAATGTTAATTTAATAAACTCAGCGAGCATTTGAGTACTCATTTGCTGTAGCTAGTAGGCTGAAAGATTTTAGTGGGCAGTTTAGTTTTTATGTATTCTTTTTGAGTAACAAAAGATTATCACAGAAAAAATGAGTTTCTTCAATGCTATATTCAGTTATGTTTTTGATTATTCCTTTGGGAAAAATTATGTAATAATCTTATCTTTATATCCTTAAAAATACCCAGTAGAATCTTATTTTGTACTTCTTTTAACTCAATAATATATAATTAAAGATTTGAAAAGTAGTTCATATTGGGGGGGTAATTTATTTATTTATTTTTCACTTAATTTTTTAATAATTTATTCGCTTTAAATCCCAATTGTAGCTCCCTTCGTCATCTCCTCCTCTCCCAACCTCCTTCCTCCAACCCCTCACCCCCTAGACCACAGACAGGGGGAGAGCTCCTCTGCCACAATCTACCTCTTGCCTATGAAGTCCCATCAGGAATGCTGGATCCGCTTCCTCTGTGGCCTGGCAAGGCTGCAGGGAGTGATCAGGGAGCAGGTTACAGAGTCCATGTCAGAGACAACCCCTGCTGCCCCTACTAGGGAAACCACATGAAGACTGAGCTGCCATGGGCTACATCTGAGCAGGGAGTCTAGGTCCTCTTCATGCATGGTTCTTGGTTGGTACACCAGTCTCTGCAGAACCCCATGGGCCCAGCTTTGTTGGCTCTGTTGGTTGTTGTCGTCTTCTTTTTTTAACCTGGCTCACAATACTTTTCTTTATTTATTTTTATTTATTACAATTTATTCACTTTGTGCTGTAGACTCATCCCTTGGTCTCTCCCAATCCTGCCCTCCCTCCCTCTTCTCCCATGTCCCTCCCCTAGTCTACTGATAGAGGAGGTCCTTCTCTCCTTCCATCTGACCCTAGCCTATCAGGTCTCATCTGGACTGTCTGCATTGTCTGCCTCTATGGCAGGACCCTAGTTTTCACCTTATACCCATTAAAATGGCTAAGATCAAAAACTCAAGTGACAACACATGCTGGAGAGAATATGGAGAGAGGGGAATCTTTCCTCCTCCATTGCTGGTGGGAATGTAAACTTTTACAACCACTTTGGAAATAAATCTGGTGCCTTCTCAGACAATTAAGAATAATTCTATCTCAAGATCCAGCTATACCACACCTAGGCATATATCCAAAAGATGCACAAGTATACAACAAGGACATTTGCTCAGCCGTGCTCATAGCAACTTTATTTGTAATAGCCAGAAGGTAGAAACAACCCAGATATCCCTCAGTTGAGGAATGGATACAGAAATTGTGGTACATTTACACAATGGAATACTACTCAGTAATTAAAAACAAGGAAATCATGAAATTTGCCAGCAAATGGTGAGAACTAGAAAAGATCATCCTAAGTGAGGTAACCCAGAAGCAGAAAGACACACATGGTATATACTCACTTATAAGTGGATATTAGACATATAATATAGGAAATTAAACTAAAATCTGTACACCTAAAGAAACTAAGCAAGAAGGAGGACCCTGGGTAAGATGATTAATCCTCAGAAAGGCAAACGAGATGGACCTCAGAAGAGAGAGAAAACAGGGAACAGGACAGGAGCCTACCACAGAGAGCCTCTGAAAGACTCCACCCCACAAGGTATAAAAGCAGATGCTGAGACTCAGCCAAACTTTGGGTAGAGTGCAGGGAATCTTATGAAAGAAGGGGGAGATAGGAAGACCTGGAGGGTACAGGAGCTCCACAAGGAGACCAACAGAACCAAAATATCTGGGCCCATTGGTCTCTAAGACTGCTACTCCAACTCAGGACCATTCATGGAGATAACCTAGAACCCCTGCACAGATGTAGCCCATGGCAGCTTAGTCTCCAAATGAGTTCCCTAGTAAGGGAACAGGGACTGTCTGTGACATGAACTCAGTGGCTGGCTCTTTGATCACCTCCTCCTGAGGGGGAGGATAGCCTTACTAGTTGATATTTTTCTATCAAGAAACTTCCAGAAATAAAATTAGTGAAAGAGATTTGAAGTGTAGATAGTAGTTTATACTAGATCAAAGCCTCTCCCCCAATTTATTACAGAAGCAAGAATATGGGAAACTGTTTTTAATGTTAGAAGTCATAGGGATAACATTTACCTATGGAAACTTGCAGTAACTTTTTAAAAACAATTAAATCATTTACTTTGGATCAGTTTTGCTTTTCTAAAGTTTTCTAAAGTTCTAAAAGTTTTGCTTTTTGTTTAGTTTTTTAAGTGTCATCATTTTTTTGATATTATAAAAGCAATATATCATAGTCATGATATGGTTAGCAAGAAGGAAAAAGATAGTAAATATCTAATAAAGTTATAAACATGGTTATGAATAATTTTATATCTGGCTTCTTAACCTGAAAACCCTAATTAAGTTGCTCTATATCTGCATTTTTATTTTTATTTTTTTGTAGGCATTGTTGGAGACCATGTTTGGTGTAAAAGTAGTTATCACAGGTGATGCATTTGTACCAGGAGAAAGGAGTGTCATTATCATGAACCATCGGACGAGAGTAGACTGGATGTTCCTGTGGAATTGTCTAATGAGATTCAGCTACCTCAGATTGGAGAAAATTTGCCTCAAATCCAGTCTCAAAAGTGTTCCTGGATTTGGTACGTTATTCGTATATTATTTTAAGTACTTAACTCATTTTGTATGTAATGTGCTCTAAAACAAAATGAGGTAAGTTGAACTGTATATTATTTTCAGCTTTTCTCATGAAGCTAAAAATAATTCCAGTTTCTTTTTATCTTTATGGTGTTGTTGTGGTGATTTTATCTTAATCTCTATTTTAAAAATATCTTACTCTAGAAGAGAAAATAAACTAATATCAAGGAAGTAGATCATTCTTAGAGCCACTACATTGAAGAATATGAATTTAATAGTTGTTAACTTCTTTTTTTTCCAAGACAGGGTTTCTCTGTGTACCCTTGGCTCTCCTGGTCTTGCTTTGTAGACTAGGCTAGCCTCGAACTTGCAGAGAACCACCTGTGTCTTCCTCTCCAAGTTCTGGGATTACATGTGTGTGTCATCGTACACTGCTGATCGGTAACTTTCTTTAAAAAATTTCATTTACAAATTAAAACGACACAAACTCATTCTCAGGTGGTCAGAAGTCCAAAATTAGCTACTCTGTCCTCAGCTTGCCTGCCTCAGGACAAGCCCAGGAGCTTCCCCTACGGCCGTGGCTTGATCGCACCTTCCTCTGGGTTCCTCACACTCCTTATGCCCTGTACTGTGTTACTTAGTTATTAGTCTCTTTGTTGATGTTTGGGTTTGTGTTTTGAGACAGCCTCAGGCTGGCCTCAAACGTGAGCGAGTTCCTTGCTTCTCAGCCTCGAACATGCTAGGAGTGCAGTGCTCCACCATGCCAGCTTGAGTCTTCTGACAGTGGACCTCTTTCTTGAAGGCAAGATCAGATGCATTCTGCCTCTTTCTCTTTTTAAAATATTTTTATTAGCATATCATGACTTGTTCATATATGCACATACATACATATACATATAATATACACATTTGTATTTTGATAATATTCACCCTGTTCTCAACTTTACTCTCATTAACCCTACCCTGACTTGCCACCTTCTACTTTTCCTGTCTTTTGTGTGTGTGACCAAATATAAAAATCATTTACAGGAGCATAGGTGAGAGTTTGCTCAAAAGAGTGTAAATACTTTACCGGTAGCTGTACTGCTAAAAAATATGCCTGTTCCTCCAAGCAAGTATTGTGCATATAAATCCCCACAAGGGATAGAGTCCCGTGAGACGTTCCTGTTCCGTCAGAGAGTATAACTGGGCCCCGCCTTAGGGAGGTCATCGCAGCTGCTGTGAATAGTAGTCGTGCCATTCCACAGGCAGTGGTTCACAGTGCCAGTCCCTTCTTGTCACTGTTAGATTTCTCCTGCTCTTTTCATGGTATTCCCTGAGCCTTGAAGGGATACTTGAGCTGTCCCATTTTCTGATTGTATATTCAAGATTCAATACCAGTTACAGATTCCCACAGTCACCATGGCTCTCTGGAACAAGAAGCTTCTCTGACTAGAGCTGACATCAGCATAAATATAGTTACTTAGAAAACAGTTTCTTAGTTTCTAAGACACATCATATCCCTTTAGTAAAACAATAGCAGTAGCTTTCTCACTGTGGTTTCTGACCTTCTAGCCATGGACTTTGGATTAGTTTACAGTTCCACATGTGCATTCCATCTTAGGAAGTAGGCATCAAATCAAATTGCACAAACACACACACACACACACACACATACTCAACAATAGGTTCTTGCCTCTGTTTCTGGAGAAGAGCCAATTGAGTGACATTTACCCATATTGTTTGGGGGCTTGAGTGGCTTCACTGACTGACCTAAAAACTCAGAGAGAGTTAGGCTGTTCCTTGCACTAGGGTTTTTGTTTAATAAGCTGTGGCTTCTGGGAGCTGATTTACTCAGTCACACAGGTACTTCTATTTCAAACATTTTTGAAAAATGTTGTGATTAGCTTATTGAGAATCAGAATTCCTTTTTTCTTTATATATATATATTGGTTGACCCTTCTTCTCACCCATCTTTTCCCCCTCTTCCTGCCTTCCAGCCACTTAAATCTTTCTCTCTCCTCCTCTTTCTACTCCTGCTTTCATACTGCATGCATTCTGCTACATTCTGCTACTACTCTTTAAAGAATCTTTAGCTTTTCTGGACTCCTTACATATTTACTTCTTTATAAATGCACATATACATAAAATAAAATCTAGGTTTACATATGAGAACATGTGGTGCTCTGTCCTTGACCCTGAGTTACTTTATTTAATACATTATTTTCCAACTCCATCCATTTTCATCTACTTTATAATTTTATTTTTCTTTATGATTGAATAAACTTCTGTTGTGTATATGACCATACTTTCTCCAGCTATTCATCAGTTGATGGACATCTGGGCTGATTCTCTTGCTGTTATTGTGAATAAAGCGGCAGTGAACATGGATGCACAAGGCTCTCTGTGGTGGGATATGGAGTCCTGTATATGTGTGCCTAGGATGGTATAACTGGGTCTTTGGAAGCTCTGTTTTTAGGTTTTATAGAAACCTCCACACTGGTTTATATAGCAACTACACCACATTACATTCCCACAAGTGGTGAATGAAGGTCTCCCTTTCTCTGCATCCTCACCAAGATCTGTTGTCATCTGTCTTCTTGATAATAAACATTCTAGCTGGATTGAGTGGAATCCATTTAAATTTCTATATATTTGTGTAAGGATGTTGAACATGTTTTCAAATATTTGTTAGCCATTTGTATTGCTGTTTTTAGGAATGGTGTGTTCAACTCCTTAGCACATTTTTAAAAACTGAATTATATGCTTTCTTGTTTTGTTTTTCTTAGACTGTTTGTGTATTTTATATACTCACTATCAGGTGAAGCACTAGTGAGGATTTTCTTCCTTATGTAGGTAGTTTCTTCATTCACTTAACTGTGCTGTTTGATGGACAGAACAGTTTCATGATTGCCTTCCTGTTAGTTTAGATTGTTGATCTTTTTTGGTAAGGGGCTGGAGTCCTATTGAGAAGTACTTACTTATGGCTCTATCTTGAAATGGTTTCTCTACTTTTCCTCTGCGGTCTTTCCATTTGGAGTTGATATTTGTGCAGGTGGAAGGTAAAGATCTAGTCTTATTCTTCTACTTGTGGATGCCGTTGACCCAGCAGCATTTGTTGAAGGGGCTGTCTTTTCTCCAGTGTGCATTTTGGCATATTTGTAAAAAAATTAAGTGGGTGTAACTGTGTGTTTGTGTGTGTGTGTGTGTTTGTGTGTGTGTGTGTGTGTGTGTATCTGGGTCTTTTATTCTGTTCCACTAATGTGTATGTCTTTTTGTGCCAGTGCCATGCTGTTTTATTATTCTGGCTCCCCAGTATAACTTAAGATCAGATGTTCCCTCGTCATTCTTTCTGCTTTGGATTGCTTTGAATATCTGTTTTGTGTTTCGTGCTTCCATATGAATTTTAAGACCTACTCCTCCTATTTCTGGTGCTGAAATTTTGATGGAGATTTTATTTAATCTATAGATTGCTTTTGGGAGAACAGCCGTTTTTACAATTAATTGTTTTGATGCATGAGCATGGGGAGGCTTTTCAGTTTGTCAGTGTTTTCCTTCTTTTTATTTAGAGATTTTTTTCACTTCTTTAGTTAGCTTTTATCCAAGATTTCTTCCTTCCTTCCTTCCTTCCTTCCTTCCTTCCTTCCTTCCTTCCTTCCTTCCTTCCTTCCTTCCTTCCTTCCTTTCTTTTTTTAGTTTATTGTGAATGGAATTATTTCTTAATGTGTTTGTCATTGGTACATAAGATGATTTTTATATGTTGGTACTGTATCCTGCCACTGTGCTGAAAGTGGTATATCAGCTTTGTTTTCCCATGGCATCTTTAGGGACTCTTATGCTTAGAATCATCATCTGCACATAGGGATGCCTTAACTTTTTATTTGGGGGATTGGTTTTACCTTTTTTTCTTTAATTGGGATATAATTAGTTTCATTTTAATTATTTATTGTAGATGTGTATATAACAGATTCAGAACCCCCCTAACACTATAAAATGAATTCAATATTATGATGGAAGCATTTGAATAAAACACTTTGAATGAGGAATACAAAGGATGATAATTGACCGGAAAATAAGATAAAATGTGATGAGAACCCATTGAATTAAAGAAGGACATGGAGGAAAAAGAGAATGACATCAGGAAGCAGAGTAATAAAGTTTTCATAGTGCTTTTACAAGGAAAATAAAGACAAACAAAATGAGGCCACAGTGATGCCAGGGGACTGCAATTGAAGATCGGGTGGTTACGGGTGGTCTGACATACCCCATCCGAAGATACACAGTTTTCAGTGCCCTAAAGTCTCAAAGTTTTAAACATGTTCTACCCTCACCTCACTTGCTTAGTGTTATCAGATATACAAAATCAATGCAACTGTTGTTTAAAATCACTACACACTCTGAGTGTAACATTTATATGAACATCAGGTGAATTCTGTATTTAGACTTGAGTTACATTATGTATATGAAACACTTCTACAAAAAATTCACAAAATAAACCACTTCTGATGCCAAGCATTTAAGACAAAGCCCACTCAACTTGTACTTAGAGTCTTTATGGAAATCAAAACAGTATGAAAAAACAATATGATATTTCAAAGGTAATCTTTAAAAAACAACTGAAAAAAGGCCTTGCAAAATAATAGAAGGGGGGGGGGGGTGCTTCACAGCATCCACCGTGGATCTGCTTTCCAGAAGACACAGTGAAAATTCAGAAGCCGGTACCGCTTGAAGTCCCTGAATCTTTGGCAGATACAGAAACATTTCTTGCCCTGAAGTTTTCCTTTCCATTCCCTTCCCTCTTAAAGACACTACTCCAGATTGGTACAAACAGAAGCACAGGGCTCCACACATCCTCATACCTCATATTGCTCCTTTGGAGCTTGGGATTAGAGTGTCCACCATGCCCAGCTGACAACTTTAAATTTGTAGCTTAAATACAGAGATCAAGCCTGTTAAAACAGTATACAGGATATTAAAATGTGTCAGGGAATAGAAAGGAAAACCACAAGACACGAAAGAGAGGAAA